GGGGGGGGGGGGTTCATTCATCTACTCTTTGGGCACGCAGTATGCAGTTCATATACGAGAGGCAGGATACTCTACCAGCCTTCAGAATAGCAAGTTATTCATTCACTAGCATCCTCCAACAGTGATTGATTGTTTCTCACTGTTTTTGTTTTCTTTTGCTCTTTGTCGTATTTCTGTTTTCTCTATTAGGCTCTGAGTGGGGAAGTCAGAGATTTGGTCTTGCTCACCTCCAAGACCCTAGTAGCTAGCAAAGTGTCTGGCATACACTGGATGCTGAGAAGTGTTATTTGAAAGGAGAATAAAAGGCACAAGAACAAAAATGAATAGCAAACCTAGTAAATGACTACCCGACAACCAAAGCTTGATTAAATGGTGTCACTCCTGTATGTTCAACACTTAAAGAAAGATCTCTGTGGAGACATAGCCAAAGGTAGCATCTTCAAGAAAAGTCGAGGATTTCTATTATTCCAGAGAAGAGGATATAGACAATTGCTCAAAGGGAAGAAGACATGAGGGGAGATCCAGGAGTCTTTGCCAAAAAAAAATTGCCAAGGAAACTGACAGTTTCTCCTTTAGCAATTCCCCTTCCTAACATCCAGAACACTAAATTAGCTTTGTGGTAGAGTGAGATATAATAGTGACGTTTTTCAAAATGTTCTGCCTTTGAATAAATAGTCCAAACACGCTGGTGTGTGTGTAGAAGAGCGTTCATTGAGACAGAAGGGCATTTTAAATCGAATGCATTTATATGATATAAAGAAAGGAGACAGAATTTCTACCAAAGGTGTAATTCCAGTCTACTTCTAGAAACCAAAGTTGAATCATCGGACAAGTGCACTAGCAGTCAGGACAGACTCTAGTCACATTCCTCTGTAAGTTAGATTGAGATTGTTACTTTGTTCTTCAGCTATGAGATGAAGAATGTGATCCAAGTTTCCACAGTGCCTACTAGCCAGCATCTTATTATAAATACTTCCTCAGTGTCCCAGGTTATTGGCTTTAATGACTTGCTAACAGTGGTGAAATGTTAGTACTCATGCTCAGTCCTCTTACGCCGGAATCTCATGACCAGTAACACGCTTTGGGGAGACAGCGATGCTAGAGTTATGGGTAACGTGCACCAGACGGAAGTGAATTAATCCCCACTTGGCTGGTGTGCTTGTTCAGATACCCATCTGTCACCTTTCTTTAACTTCTCAGGACTTCCAGCCCGTTGATAACTCTGTGTTCGATACGTGCGTTCCACTACTCTCTCTTCACCTCCTTCCGAATCTAACTTAGGTTCAATCATAAGACATTTTAATAACTCTTCCCCAAGATGATAAGATCCTGTGCTTTATTATCTTTTTGTGGGTGCCATCTGCAAAACCCCCAAACTTGGAGAATCTAACTAAATTCTTTCACCTGTCCAAACAACGACAGAGAAGACCACTATAGTCACCTTTTCAGGATGACAAACCAAGTGTTCCATTGACCAGCCCAATACATCACTGAGTCAGTTTACCTCCAAAGTATTTCTTGGCTCTGTCTACTGCAGTCATCACCGTAGTTACAGAAGAGCATATCTCCTAATGTTTCTGCATCTACTCTGGCCACCCTACAATGCAATCTTTACATTTCAGCCAGAGCGATTTATGTAAAAACATACACTGAATTATGTCAGTCCTCATCTTAACACTCTTTAATGGCTTCTCAGTGCCACTGGGGAAGGACCAAAATCCTCAACAAGGCCCCAACCTTCTCTTTTCTTACTGCTCTTTCTCTTGCCCTCTGGACCCTAGCCATGCACCATGTCCTTTTGGTTTCTACAGTACTCCGTGTTACTCTCAGGTGGTGCTTTGAACATGTTGATCCTCTGTCTGAAGCCCCTCCTACCTACCCCCACGCCTTCATAATTTCCTGGTTAACATCTGATAATCCTTTACATCTTGGCTCAGACATCGAGCAAGCTTTTCCATGTTGCCCACATTTGACCAGATCTTCTTCTACATGCTCTCATACACAGTCTACTTTTCCCTCTGCAACTTAACATTCTTTGTCATCACATATATGTGTAATTTTGTGATTATTGTCAATCACTGTCACTAAACCATGTGCCCCAAGAAGCCTTCTTTTGGGGAGAGGGTTGTCATTTTTATACCCAGCACTTTATAAAGTGCCTAGTACAGAGTAGACACAACATAGGTAAAGAAACAAAGGAATTGAGGAAGAAAGGGAAGACGGGAAGGAGGAAGGGAAACAAACCAATCAGTGAGCTAATCTTAACCTTATTCATTCTTCTTTAGTTTACTGAGACCAAGGGCAGGGAAAGAAGAATAACGAGTGATGTTCCCTCCTAACTGCAGGATTTTTCTGTTTATTCCCAATTCAGCGTCCATTTGTACTGTGTAGAGCTACTTTGATGCCCACTGTTTTTACTTGTGGTCTGGCCCAATGTTTTCACGAGCTTCTCTTTGTATCCTTAAGAAACATTCTTGTCACAAAACACTCTCCTCCCTCAAAGAACATCATCACTCCTAAGTGTTGATGAGAGAACCATTTAGCACCCTGTTTACTCAGAGTTTTGTCACATTTATGCAGTAGCCCTTTTATAGTAGCAATGGAATGCCTGTCTAGTTAGTAATGCTCCTGGTGCCTGTTGGCAAAAAGAAAAAAGGAAAATCTTTGAAACTGTGTCTCTTTATCAGATCTCCTGAACTTACTTAGCAAGAGAGAAAGGAAATGTAATCAGTACAAAACTGTCAAGATCTAGTCTTTGACGGATTTTGTATTTGTAGACTTGTTTTACTTTGCCACATTTCCGGGATTATAAATCATCTTGCTCTTTATGGGTTTCTTGATTCAAATACTGTTGATATAGACTGTTTAGTATCAAGATGGGTCACTTGCCATCATAAACTTGTTCCCCACGTATTTGGTGTGTCACTGTTTTTCAAATCCCCTGCTTACCATCTATTGTAAATTATTAATGCCTCGGGTTGTCGCTTCTTATGGGAATACAAATCCCATTACAATGTCAGAAGTCGAAACTATAGGAAAATATTTTTCACTTTTCTTTTATATAAATCAGGATGTTTACGGAAGAGGCAATTTACATTTTCTTTGTGTATCGTTGCAGATTAATGATAAAATCTGATAGCACAACATCGTATGTCTTGTACTCTTAAGGCAAAAACCTACAGTCATTCTCAATCACCGTGATGGAGAGTTCATGTTTTTCTTATAGGGAAAATTCCAAGACATTCCACACAGGTAGTTAGGGACTGCAGTCTTACCCCCCAAAACAATTTTCACCCTCATGGGAGTGGATCTTTGTTCCCCAAACCAGCCGGGCGGCATAACAAACTGTAGCTGGAATGGCTCTCGAACCTGATTAATAAAATAATGCTCCGTACGTTATAAATAATTAAAGCTCAAATATGCCTTCGCAAATATAAACTGACCGATTTTTATATCTTTTGAATACATTATCCAGGCTTTTACGGCCCCTCATTACTTGCCTCGCTAGACTGACTCGTTTTCAATTAGTGTGTATTATTCTGGTCCAGATATATTTTTAAAACTGACTTCCTTTGTTTTACTTGAGCGGTCACTAAAGTGATATTTATTACTTGTCTACTTCTGTGATTAACGTAGAGAGAGTTTTAAAGGAGCCCATCGTAGTGGGAAATTTCTAAGGAGAACGGCGATAAACCAGTGGCTTCTTCAACTCCCTTCCTCTACCCCAAATCCAAACGGAGAGTAGGTCTTGATTA